TGTTGGTAGCTTCTGCCTTGCAGCGGATGAGCATCGGCAACGGGTAGGGCCCCACGTGGATCTATCACTTCACTCCAAGTCCAACACAGTATGGATTTTAAGGAAGCAGGGTGCGTAGAGTTCCTCACCACACAGGGGCTCGGTCGATATTAGTTGGGGCGTGGCATTAGTGATTGATATAAATTATAAGGTATAGAGGCATACACACTACACACACACACACACACACAACACACACACACACACACACACACACACAACACACACACACACACACTACACACACTCACCTGCTTGCGCCCTGCGCGCGCACACGCACAACACACACACACACCACACACACACTACACACTGACACATGCACACACACATTCACACACAAAAACACACACCACAGATCGATGTGAGTGCGGGACTCTGCGGACGCCATGATCATTGGGAGCCGGCGGAGAAGCCCGAGTAAGACAGAGTCGCATACGAAAGTTCTTGTTCAGTATATTTATATCGGAAGTGCTTTCGTCGCCGTCGTCGCGGTGTGGCCATGGCTTGATTGACTCTGCGTACGCAGGCATTCAGCGGTACCCGGCCGGGCGATTGCTAGTTCGAGCGCACTGCTACGGGAGGTGCTGTTACGGCGATGGCGGGGCGTCGACTCCGGCCAATCGTAGCTATATTTGTAGAAGCTCATCTTGGCACGCGCGTCACTAAGGTCGGCGATCCACAGGATTCAACGCCGTCACGCAGTCTTCTTGCGAGGCTCTGCCAGCGGGGCGCTGCCGATCGGGTCGCGTGAAGTCCAACGATGGGCACGCCGAGGCTGCTTCCGGTAGGAATAGCCGGGTGACGACTAGATATAAAATAGAAGAGATACATAGAAGAGATGTATAGAATGTCTAGTCTGTGGTCATACATACGCTTAGTGATTGATTCTTTTAGATATTTTCGTTGCTCTTTTTTCTCTTCGCCGCCTATTAGCTGCTGTTCACACGAGGCGCAGAAGGTTGCGTTTCACACGCGTTAAAATATACGCTGCGCCTTGTAGCTACGGGCTTGCCTTAGCGCGAACGCTCGCCGGCTCTGCTTAAGCGCGTGAAATCATTCCGCCACCAACTATGCCGCGTATATCGGCAACCACGTTGGCCGCGGTATTTGATTTGTCTTGTGAACGCATTGTTCTGTGTTGTCGCGCATTGTGAACGCCATTGGGTTCGTGTTTGTCGCGCATTGTGAATCGCATTCGTTCGCGGTGCGTGTGAATGCGAACTATAGCGCCTTCTAACTAGCACTGCTAGCCCGGTTCGCCTGCGACGACGGGGGCAGTGGGGTTACATGTCTGATATTATACCGAGCTACGCTATAGCTCGAATCTCGTGTATTCTCGTTCGGTGAACGCCATGTTTAACCGTGGACTTAGCACCAACTAAGTACGGACCAGCCTAGCGAGAGAGAAGGAGAGAAAGAGAGGGGTAGAGAGAGAAAGAGAGGGGTAGAGGAAGAAAGAACGAGAGAGAGAGAGAGAGAGAGAGAGAGAGAGAGAGAGAGAAAGAGAGAGAGAAAGACAGGAAAAAGAAGAGAGAGAAAGAGAGCGAGAGAGAGAAAGACAGGAAAAATGAGAGAGAGAGAGAGAGAGAGCGAGAGAAAGAGAAAGAAGGAAAGAGAGGACGAGAGCCACTACTAATGGACAGGCGCCCTGTTATCAGAAACAAATGTTGTACGGGGTAAAAATCACAGTCTTGGTATTAGCGTTAACATTAACTTTGTCTCGTAATCTGCTAACAGAAGCATCGTTAATGTTCTCCTTCGAACATTAACTTGTACGGGGTATTATTCTCTTAGATCGAACCTCTGTCACAGTACGAATTGAGGTCCGGTCTACGTGAACAATTTAACGTTAACAATAATCGTAAAACTGATTTTATTTCCAACAACGGGTCCTTGTGCGTTAGCTACAGTCGCCCTCACATGCAACAGTCGTTAGCCTGTAATGAAAGTGATTAAATTTTACGACAAATCCGTGTAATTAACATTGCCGCTTAATTAAGCCACGTAATTAATAACTGGAAACCGTTGTAAGCAGGTTAATTTGGATTTGTCATAAAATGAAATCACTCTGAAATCATTAGGAAACCCGATTATAACATATGAAACTTATTCCGTAATTATCTAAATTAATTATACGACTCTAAATTGATATCAGGCGATAATATCATTAAAAACAGACAATCAAAGTGAATTCCGTTGCAGAAAAGTAACAGTATTTATATGATATATACAGTAAATATTTTCTAATACCAGGGCAATAAATAAAAATATTTAAATCTATCATAATGAAGACTACCTGCATCGACAATGGCCTCATACGTAACCTCCAGTAGAATTCGGAGTTGCGGGTCCATACAGTTTGCTTCCGTCGGGCTAATCCCAAAGAAGATCGCATCGAATTTGCTAATGTCCTTTAGTTTTGCACTTCGACTTGGCAATCCGTATATACCTAAACAATCAGTATATTATATACGATATACAACACCGTGTAAATGTCAAATTAAATTAAATTATTTCCGTTTTCACAAACGATAGGCACCGCTGTGTCTTGGTTAATCACATAACAGGGAAAAGACGCCAAAGTCATCATTTGTCTTTCAACGCATCTGTGCTTGCCCATGAGGATCTGCTTCCGGAAAAAAATATGCTCATCGTGACGTTAGTGTTTTTTTGTTCCATTAGAGTCGGGAGCACCTGTCTAACGGACCCGCGCGTCTCTTGCTAGTATACTCGCCATGCTATGTCCAACCCAGCCGATAAGACGTATCACCTGCTCACCCGGTTCCCATCTCCTCCCGTCGGCTGTACTCATGTCGACTCCGTCAAACAGGTTCTGTTTGAACTTCGCCATGTTATCCGCTTCTGGCAGACGACAGGAAATGCCGGCGACGACGATGTCATCGGCGCTCTACAGAAGCAGAGAAAACGGGAAGGATGCGGGATGTTGATGGGCCGGTAGAGACAGCCGCGGGGCTGAACGCGTGCAGCAGTGAATGATAGTGAATGATAGTGAATGATAGTGAATGATAGTGAATGATAGTGAATGATAGTGAATGATAGTAATGAGAATCAGTGAATGAGAGGCAGTTAATGATAGTGAATGATAGTGATGAGAATCAGTGAATGAGAGGCAGTGAATGATAGTGAATGATAATGAATGATAGTGATGAGAGGCAGTGAATGAGAGGCAGTGAATGAGAGGCAGTGAATGATGGCAGTGAATGATAGTGAATGATAATGAATGATAGTGATGAGAGGCAGTGAATGAGAGGCAGTGAATGAGAGGCAGTGAAAAATAGTGAATGATAGTGATGAGAATCAATAAATGAGAGGAAGTGAATGATAGTGATGAGAATCAGTGAATAAGAGGCAGTGAATGATAGTGAATGATAGTGATGAGAGGCAGTAAATGAGAGGTAGTGAATGATAGTGATGAGAAGCAGTGAATGAGAGGCAGTGAATGATAGTGAATAATAGTAAATGATAGTGATGAGAAGCAGTGAATAAGAGGCAGTGAATGATAGTGATAAGAATCAGTGAATAAGAGGCAGTGAATGATAGTGAATGATAGTGAATGATAGTGAATAATAGTGATGAGAATCGGTGAATAAGAGGCAGTGAATGATAGTGATGAGAGACAGTGAATGAGGGACAGTGAATGATAGTGAATGATAGTGATAAGAATCAGTGAATGAGAGGCAGTGAATGATAGTGAATGATAGTGAATGATAGTGATGAGAGGCAGTGAATGAGAGGCAGTGAAAAATAGTGAATGATAGTGATGAGAATCGGTGAATGAGAAGCAGTGAAGGATAGTGAATGATCGAAGGCTGGGCCGGGGCCTAGCCTTTTATTGAAACATAATTCACTGTATATTATTACTATATTTATTAAATATTCACCTTATAATATTGATATTGATATAGTGTTTATTATTTGTGGTGTATAATTACATATTACGTAAATATTACATTGTATACATTTATGTGAATATATTACTATTACAAAGATTGAGTAAAAATATAGTTTGTTATTATTCCATCCTGATAATATGCTAATTATGCTGAATCATTATATTTTCTCGCAGACGTTGACGATGATATTTGCAATGTGCTGGCACCTCGGCGCGATTCTCATCGACTGTGAAGTCTGGCGGTGTCATGGCGACAGACGCGTCTCCATGGAGACCACCGCCAGCCGGCTCCAGGGTCGTGTGAGCCGACATTCCGTTCAATTCCGAGTTCCGTTTCCGTCCGATTCCGTAGGCCCTATGCACGCTCCGATTCCGTGGACCTCTGTGTGATTAATGAATATAATATTCTACATATTAACAATTTTATTTTTATTTACCTATCTGCTTGGAGTGATTGATAGATATATCCCTAGCCAATCGGCGTTGCGATATGAGTATTCAAAAGAAACGCTGCTTGGTAACTAATAAGCAATGATTCTACATCAAACTGGTCCGGGCCAGGCGCGCGTCGTTTTGCAGTGTGTACACGCTATATCCCGCTCCAAATACGCGCTGGCCCGCACCAATATGGCCGCGCAAATAAAGGAGGGTCAAGCCCGGGATAACTTGGCCCGGGATAAGTTAACCCGCTCCAAGCTGTGTCTGTACGCAACACGCGGGCCAAATCCTGTGCTATTTCGCAATACGCATGCGCATAACCTTATTTAACTCACGTAAAAGTACAGTAGCTGTCTGCGGGGCGACGTAGCGAGCTGAACTGAGCATGCACAGTCAACCCGTGACTCATTTGATGTAGGATCAAATTTTGTATCTGTACGCTACGATTTGACGAGCGCTTGGCCCGGACTAGTTTAATGTAGGATCAAATTTTGCAGTCTGTACGGGGTAGAAGTCTCGGAAGGTACACTATTTGGCGGGTACGCGTGAAAAACACGTATAAACCGATGCGGCTTTATCGACCTATGAAAAATATTCAATGAAACGTTGTTATCTCGCTTAACGTTTAAACGCGGTGATCAATTCTCATTAGCAAATATTTAACTCCCATTATGCGTGTTAACAATGAAGAATCTCTTAGGTTCCAGTGATTGTGGGCCCTGAGGGTATACACAGGAGAAATCGATAAACAATTACGTTCTCATGTTTCGACACGGAAATGTAGGAGAAAAGTTATTTCGAAATGCGATTACGACAGAACGTTTATAGAAATATGACGTAGCCGTTTTTATAAGTTTCGTATTCACAGTATCAGACGTTATTACGGAGCCCGTTACGAGGTTTTGCTGGGCGCTGTTTCGTAAGTATGCGTTGAGAACAACAAAAGATAAATATATACGAAAATGGGAGTGAGGTGCTTTGTGCACTATCCTATTTAAATGTATGAATGTCTAATGTTTACGATATGAATACGTACGGGTATATAATATCATCTATATGGTAATTTTATAAGTTGTATGTATTTAAAAAACTGGATGTATTTACTCGAAAATACCGAGTCTCTCAAAATACCGAGTCTCTCATTCAAGTGACGAAATTACCATGTAGAT